TTTTTTCTAAATTCCCTGTTGTCGACAACACAAAATATTGTTTCTTTCCTAGAGGTTACATTGTAGTAGGCATAACCTCAAGAGGTTATATGCCACTTAGTTTTTATTTAGCTCTAATGTCTAGGTGAATGTAAGTTTAGTACATACCTTGATTTTAATTTTGCTAGTTATAACTCCAGCAAGTTATATTCTGGTAAAACTTCAGAAGTTATATAACTTCTTTAGTGAAACTAACCGGGATCGTTTTTTTATTTCCTGACTTCCTTCTGTTTAAAAGACTTATTTCGATTATGATTTTTACCGGATTTGACCTGACTAAACCTGATTGTGATTTTCCCCGAATTGGTTTCCTTTCTAGGATGTGTGGTACGCATAGTTACCAGATCAGAACAGGAATAAGGAAAGAAAATTTCGAAATTTGTAAATTATTTGTTTCATTTAGTTTTTGATGTCAGATTTGATCTGATGCTTTTTGGTGATTGTCCAGTAAACTTATTTGAATTTAAACTGGGGAGAATATATTATTATCTCATGGGATGTTTGTATTATTTTTTTTATTATTTAAAAAATTAGCTTCTTTCAGAATCTAATTTTTTTTCTTAGCAGAGGGGTAGTGTAGCATTTAGATTTTCATAGGGTAAATACTATGATAATTTTCAATATAAATATTATTAAAAGGAAGTAATCTTACTAAACTTACCTTATAGAAACAGTTCATTCTTGGGTATGTTTGGCTTTTACAATTTTGTTTGAATTAAGTAAATAACTTTGGGATTTAATTAACTAAATAAGTTTGTTTGTCAAAATTCAAATTATATATTTATTTTCATAGGTTAACATTTTCTGCCTATGTCACTGAACTAAAATTAGTTCTGTGTCAAAGAGTGGCAGTGTTCTTTTTTTAAATTTTGGTCTCTGACATTTGGGGTGTCCATATAATATTACAAGTATGAATTGGCTGAAGACTTCGAGATTCGATACCATTTTCATGGTGCAACCGTGCAATTTCTAGTGATGGTTTCTGATTCTAAACATCTGATTGGTCAGAAATTTTAGTCACAGAATGTTTGAGAAGTTGCCTTTCTGTCTTGATAAGTCAATAAGTCAAATTGTCAATTATAAATATGTCATTTCCGCTAATGTTTTTTTCGAGAAATAAGAGGTAATAAAAGGCCTGGAGAGGAAATTGTTGGGGCCATTTTTGCTTTGCCAGTGTTCAAGTTGAATATAAGTTTCCTTTTTTGCATTTTGGTTTGCCAGTGTCATTTTGAGTCTATACCCCGTTTTAGGGGGATCATTCACCTGTGCACGAATAAGGAGCTTTGTATTACAAGGGCATTTTTCCACTGAAAAAAAAAAAAACCTCCACTTAGGTGAGTTTTTCTGATATTTTTTTTTAATTGCGACGCTTCCATGTGGCCAGGTTAAAACGCAGATTATTTTATTAGGGTTCTGTCTGGTTTCTACGATTTGGAGTAGGGTCCCTGACCTGTTGAAGGCAGCTGTAAGTCTGCATGAAAAGCGGAGTTGAGTCCGGTTACTTCCAAACCTCCAACCCTTTTTTTTAAAAAGGTGAGTTTTTTTTTTTTACAAAAAATGTTTTTTTAAATGATCGTGATTGAGACCTTCGTTTTCTTTCACGATAGGGTCCTAGGATAGGGCTAAAGAGTCCAAAGATAGGACATGTCCTCCCCAACCTCGATGGTGATTTTTTTTGTTGGAAAATGATGAAGCCTGGGATATTTTCCGCTCCAGGGACTTTGACGCTGAGCCTCTATGTTTGTCCTGCTGTCACTGTGGAGTCCGGTCTGACCTTCCCAAGTCTGTCTATTTGGAATAAGTCACCCCTATAGTAGATAAGTAGTAATGTCCAGGTCCAGAAGTCCTGTTAATTTTCGTTTAATCCTTTAGTTTGGTTTGGGAACCGAAGATTTGGTAAATAATCAAAATTTAACTATATTTATGTAACTTTAGACAACCCTGTCTTTTTATTTAGCACATATTATGTAGGTACAAATATATATGTAACTGGAACCTACTGTGTAAACCGAAAGTAACGTTACCTGAGGCATATAGAGTATATTTCCTTTTAACGTGGTTCAAACGGTAAATGTTTTTTTGTTTTGACCATGTATACTTAATTTAACTAATCTTAACTTCTTTGTGCCCTTTAGCGGGTTTTAGTATATAATTTATATATTTGATAAGTAATTTGGTTCTTATAGTAAAAATCAACACTGTATTCCAATCATATTATTTTTAATTTTTTTGGTATAAACCTGGACATTTAATGTAAATAATAATTACACCTATTTTATCATCATCTTTAAATTTGATATTTCGGATAGGGATATCTATTAATCTTTTTTATAATAAACATTTTTTAAAAAAAAGGTAATGAGTTTTATTTATGAGGTACTGGAATGCCAATTTTTCTACAATTTTATTTAGGTTTCTTCAAATTTTCCTGAGACTAACAGCCTTCTTAAAAACTTGGAGTGGCGCCCACTACAAAAATAATTATAAATAATTATTCTTGTTATTTTTTTTTTTAATTCACCAAGCCAGTCACCCATAGTGCCACCAGACGAACAGCTGCCGGAGCTAAACACTATATCTTTCCTTCAGGAAAATTTAGGGTACAATGCTATTCAATTTGGGTGCAACAGTTTCACCAGTATATCTATGGTCAAACAGTACAAGTTCAAACTGTTCATAAACCTCTTGTTTCCTTGTTTAATAAACCTTTATCTGATGTCCCATCTCGCTTACAAAGAATAATGCTAAATATCCAAAAATATGATGTAAGAGTGTCTTATACTCCTGGAAAATATTTATAGCAGATGCACTTAGTCGAGCCCCTGTAGATCCATCAGATTCTAATGATGATTTAGATCAAGAAATCAGAATCCATATGAATTTATCCAATCTTTCTGTTACAAATAAAAAATTGAGTCAAATTAAAACAGCAACAAAAGCAGATCCTGCCATTCAAAGTATATCTTATTGTTTAAATGAATGGCCAAATCCTAAATCAAAAGTCACAAATGAAGCAAAACCATTTTTTAATATACGTCAAGATCTGCATACAGCAGATGATCTGTTATTTAAAAATAACCAGTTAATCATACACACTTCTATGAGATCTAAAATTTTAAATATAACTTACGAAGGACATTAAAAATAAAGTTGAACAATGTGCAGTCTGTACAAAATTTAGAAAATCTAATGTTGCAAATGAACATAAGTGTATCAGAGAGTTCTTCAAATTTGGTTTACGATTTTTAACCTCAAAATTTTATATTTTAAATAAACAGTTATATCGTCTTTGACACAGTATATGGGGTTATTTTATTCACTGATCAATCTCACCCCACGATGTAACTATAAGAACATATTGAGGCAGCTTTTTATAGTAGTTGTTTTTTCAAGAACTGTTTTCTTTTATTGCAGAATCATCCCCAGAACTTATAAGAAGCCGTTAGTCTCACGAGAAAATAAGAAATATACTAATGAGAAGTTAAATACAGCCCTAACCTCAGTGGTTGACAGTAATATGTATCTCAGAGGAGCGGGACTTAATATAACATACCGTATGGTACCTTGTTTAACAAATACCATGGAAAATTTGTTAGGAGACTTGGAGCTCAAACAGTATTTTGCAGTGAAGAGGAAAAATGAATTTTAAAAGCAGCTGCTACCTGTGCAGAATGGGGATTTTCACTTTCAATTGTGGATTTACGAATGTTCGCAAAATCGTTATTGGACAAGTAGGGAAGGGTAGTTAAGAAGTTTCAAAATAACCTACCTGGCATTAACTGGGCGTACTCAATTCTAAAAAGAAATAAAATCGAATATTCACAACATGTTGCTACTAACATAAAACGATTCTCCCGAAGTGATTAATACATATTTTGACAATTTGAAAAAACTCTAAAGGACATACGCCCACCCATTTGTTTAATTACGACGAATCCAATTTAAGCGATAACACTGGAAAAAATTAAGATCTGTAGAAGAGGAATTAAATACCTTGAGAAAGCCATAAATTTTCCCACTTCTATTATGATTTGTGGCTCAACGGATAATGTTCTTCTACCTCCATACATAATATATAAAAGACAAAATCTTTACATGGAAGGAGAGAGCACCGGGAAGGCTACCATGCAGTTATCAAGGGTCTAGATTTAATAGAACAATCAGCGGATGGACTGATGTAGTAACATTTAAAAATTGGTTTAAAACCTTGTTCTTACCACACGCTAACTGGTTGCAAGGCAGAAAAGCTTTAGTCGATTTCAAGCGGTTTGGTATGCTTTGGTTTTCATGCCCTGATGTCATAAACAAGCCCTTTGTGACGTCACTCATTTGTCAAATCATAACCGGTAATAACTAAGTACTTCAGATGGTTATAGATGATGTATCTCTTGTAACGGGTTAAAATGGTGAAATCTCTATTTTTAATTTATTTTAATAATTTAAATATAAATTGGACTAAAAATGGCGTTTCTTATCTGTTTCCATATTTGAGAATATCTATTTCGATATTTTTATTATATTCTTCAATTATTTATAGGTGTCGATAGTTGTTTCGTTTCAGTAGAAAATAAACCGTAGCTATCTCCTATGTTTTTGAAAAAAAAAAAAAGGGTTCAATACTGTTCGGAAGTCAAAATAAATTAATTGGGTATTAGCAAGATACTTACTGTTGACAGTGAACACTGTGATATATATTTTGTGATTTATTTGTAAATCTTACACCCTTGGTGGATAAAACTCATTAGTATTCTCGTAATCAATCTTGTATGCATTTTGGCACGTTAGGTGCATTATTGTGGTGTTTTAAGATTGAAATCTTCTGTGGAAGGATTAAATTGTTAACGCCCTCAATTAGAGGGTCCAAGTATACGGTACGAGTATACGATCTAAGTACTTATACAATCCAAGTAACGACCCAATCAGGCATAGGGTCCCGTTGAAAGATCCAGGAATTGGCAGTTTCACGTCGTCTTCACAGGTTCACCAGAATACGTCATTGTTAGAATTTTTTGGCCAGTCACACTATTTGAATTGGAGTTCATCATCGCCGTTATATCCTCACCAGACCTCTGGAATTTCTGCTTTTCTAGTATACAGCTTGTCCCATTGTATGACCACGTCCAGACGAATACGAAAAGGAAAATACAGATAAGAAATATTTTAATAGTATATCGTTTATTCTAAAAACACATTTATTTAGCGCAACGTTTTGGTTTTGAATTTACATGAAAATTTATTTACGACTTATAAAACTTTATTTAAAACTTTATCATTTTTTCCTTTTATCTAAAATTTGGCTAGTTTACACCTGTGAACTCAACGTGTACACGCTGGGGGGTTTAAAACATATTTTGGACATAAAATAACATAATCAGATACTAAATATTAGTTATTTGTTTTAATATTATTTTATTAATATTTTTGTGGCATCTCTGGACTCAAACTAATTGGGGCAGTAAAGTACTTTGGCCCTTTCTTATTTAAAAAGTTCAATTTTAATTTCATATCTAAAATATCATCAGCTAAATCATTAACTGTATAATTTTCCGGCATTATCTCTGGTGTGTATTTAGTGAACTGTATGGAGACTATATTTTAGAAATTAGTTTTTCTTACCTTTAAAATATTTCTGTATCCCGTCGTGAGTGATGAACTTAAGGAAAAAATATCAGGGAAGGAAAAGGGAAGGTTCATCGGTAATTTCACTTTGCATTCAATAATTCGAACCGGCGTACAAAACGAATGTTCTGTTTTTAAATCAACTATCTTTTAGAAGTAACGAAATACGACTGACTTTAATACTACGCATAAATAATTTGCGCATGCCAAAATTAACGATATATTTTAAATAAAATGTATCTGCCATATAGGCAACACCAACTACCAAATAACAAATCTTAATTATAATCGGCCAAAACATCCTGCCCCCCCGTTGAATGCAAATTCAACAAAAACAAAATTAAAATGTTAATATTACTAATTATTCTTCGTAATTATGCCATCACCAAATTTATGAAAATAATAAATATATATATACCTAACAAAATTATTAACGTGTTATAAATTTAACTAATATTTACAAATAACTTATATCAATGTATCCTCATTCCCATTATTGACTAGGAAGAGGACAGAGCTTAGCAATTGGGCGCATGTACGTACCATTTCTGGTCCGTACTTTAGCTATTCGAGAAATCCCATCTTTACCGGGATATAAATTTTCAATTATAGCCAACGGCCATTGCAAGGGAGGGATATTGTCATAAACAATTACAACTACCATGCCTTCTTTAGGAGGTTTTGAAGTAGTATTCCATTTTTGTCTGAATTGCATGGAAGTTAGATATTCTAAATGCCATCTCTTCCAATAGTGCTGAACGATACTGTCTAATAATTTGTATCTATGTAAAACATTAATATTTTCAAATATTACATCATGGGCCGGTAAAGACGACAACGGTTCAGTACATAAAAAATGAGAGGGTGTCAGAGCTGTAGGGTTGTTGGGGTCAGTACTTTCTATACAAAGGGGGCGCGAATTTAAGAGACATTCAACTTGATTCAGGATAGTTAGGAATTCTTCATAAGTAAGAATTTGATTACCTACTACTCGAGATAAGTGTAACTTGACACTTTTTATATTACTTTCCCAAATTCCACCAAAATGGCTGGCTGAGGGAACATTAAATTTCCAAGAAATTCTATGGGTATTTAACTCAATTTGGAAGGAGTCTCTATAATGTTTAGAATTTACAAACTGGTAAACTTCATCAAGGGTTCTTTTGGCACCTACAAAATTTGTACCATTATCAGAGTATACCACAGAACAATTTCCACGACGCGAAAGGAACCTTTTAAAGGCAGCCAAAAAAGCATCAGTGGATAATGACGAAGCTAATTCTAAGTGTATAGCTTTGGTAGCTAAGCATATAAATAAACACACATATGCCTTTTGAGTTTTTACTCCTCGGTATCTTCCAATAGTAATAGAGAATGCGCCAGTGAAATCTACACCAGTGTGTAAAAATGCTTTGGTTTGGTTTACTCTCATCGAAGGTAGATCTGCCATCATAGGAAATTCGGGTTTTGGATTTAGTCGGAAACAACGATTACATTTCCAGACTCTATGTCTGATAACTTGGCGAGCGGATAAAATCCAATATTTTTGTCTTAATAATGCCTGCAATAAATAAGAACCAGTATGCAAATGTAATTTATGGAAATAATCTATCAAAAGAACTGTAAAAGGATCTGATTTAGGCAATAAGATAGGATGTTTCTCTTCAAAAGTCAATGACGAATTTCTAAGTCTGCCTCCAACTCTAATTAACCCCTCCTTAACAAAAGGATTTAAACGACGTATGGAAGATTTAACGCAAGTATTTTTGGAAATTGCCTTATATTCATCAGAAAAATGTTTCTGTTGAACAGCACGAATTACTGCAAATTCTGCCTTTTCTAAATCAGATGCTTGGATTTGCTTATGCAGGGGTAATTTTTTCAGGAACCTAAGTACATAAACTACGGAGTTCAGAAGTTTGGACATATAGGAAAATTTTTCAATTAAACTATATAATGGAGATTCGCTGGGGGTAACTATAAATACAGAAACCTTTGACAAATATTCAGAATCATCCATTCGGACTTCATTTTCATTGATTGACTGAATTGGCCAATACTTAGGATCTAATGACAACCATTTTGGACCGGAAAACCATACAGAGTTATTTACTAAAGTGGCGGGGTATAAACCTCTGGAAGCACAATCAACAACATTTTCTTCACCCGGAATGAAAAACCAATGTGGCGAAGGAAGCATCTCTTGAATTTTACAAACTCTATTGGCAACAAACGATTTCAATTTAGGGCTAGGTGATTTTATCCAATTAAGGGCAATCATAGAATCAGATAGAGCAAAGATTCGGTCAATATTATGTCTAGGAGAATAAATCTTAATAACGTGTGAAAGAAGCCTGGCTAGGAGAAGAGCTCCACACAATTCTAACCTAGGTAGAGTAATCTTGGATAGAGGTGTGACTTTGGACTGGGAATATATTAAAGAAATTTGTACATCATTATAACAATCAACGACCCTAGAATATACAACAGCTGCGTATCCTACAGCACTAGCATCTGAAAACCCAATTAGGGATAATGATGAGTCTGAGGTAACAGCAATATATCGCGGAATTTCAATTTTCTGAAGAGTATTGAATTCATTATGAATCCTATTCCACTTAATTTCAATTTTTTTAGGTGCGATACTATCCCAGTCAATTTTAAGTTCCCAAAGTCTTTTAATTAATATTTTTAGAAGAAGTGTCAAGGGAGATAAAAATCCCAAAGGGTCAAACATACGAGCAACAACCGACAGTATATTTCTTTTCGAACAGGATTTCCAAGAAAACGACTCTACTCCAAAACTAAAATTATCAAATTTTTCTTCCCACTGTAATCCTAGAACTTTAGAAATTGATTTATCAAATTCTTTAGCCTTTACTAATTGTAAAGACTCAGGTATTTTAGACAAAAGATCATGGGAATTTGACATCCATTTGACTATTTTAAAACCGCCTTTTTGAAACAAACTAACTAACTGGGAATGTGCAGACATAGCTTCTTGCACATTGGGAAAACTACTAATAAGATCATCCATATACATATCACGAGAGATTGGTAATATGGCATCCGGAAAATATTTAGATTCATCTTCACACAATTGTTTTATTTCTCGAAGACTGAGGAAAGGCGACGATGTCACTCCAAAACTCAAAGTATTTAACTCGAATACAGCAATAGGATCATTGGGGTTAAATCTCCAAAGAACTCTTTGAAATGACCTATGAGGCTCTATCATCTTAACCTGTCTATACATTTGTTTTAAGTCGGCTACTACGGCAATTGGAAAAAGACGAAAATTCAACAATATGGTTATCGGGTTATTTTGTAATTTTGGACCTTTATACAAAATGTCATTTAAAGAAGGACCTGCATTTGTCTTCATGGATGCATCAAACACTATTCGACAAGGGGTACTGGAACTATTTGGTTTAAATATACAATGGTGGGGGATATAGTATGACGGTGCATCTATAGATTTAATCGGAATTAAATTCATATGTCCCTGTTCTACATAGTCTTGAAAAATATCATTATAAATTTTTCTAAGATTTGTATTTTTATCGAGACGATTTTCCAAGGATAATAATCGATTTTTTGCTAATGCGTATGAATCTCCTAATAACTTAGGATCATCTTTAAATGGTAATGATACTACATATCTACCATCAGGATCTCTTCGGAAATTTTCTAAGAATAATTTTTCACATATTTCATCTTCTGACGAGAGAGGAGGAGAGGACAAATCCTCCAATTCCCACATTCTTTCTACAAAGGAATCTAATTGGAGAGAATTACTAAAAAATGAACAATAAGTGTGGACATAATTGGAAGTAGGCTGAGCTGAACCCATGACAACATAACCTAAAGTAGTTTCAATAGCTGAAACTGCACTGTCGGATGAAGTTATCCTGTTGAAGCCTATAATATTAGAGAAAATTGATACTCCCAATATTCCATCTATTTTACCAGGATAATCAAAATTGGGGTCAGCTAGTATCAAATGTTCTATGTTAGGCAAGGAGGTTTTATCAATAGGATGATCAGGTAAAGCATTTGCTACCATTTCTACTAGCAAAACTTCTATGGGATAACTTATTTTTGATTCAAAATGTGGAAATATGACTAAATGGGCTTTTCCTAGAATAGGGGTTTCGGAACCGCCTACTCCTGAGACGTTCAACTTCAATTTGGAATATGACAAACCTAATTTTCTGACACATTCACGGGTTATTAAATTTGCAGAAGAACCACTATCTAATAAAAATCTAATTTTTTGTGCGTGGCCCCAATTATCTACAACATTAACAACTATTGTTCCAAAGAGACTAACAGAAAATACTTTCGAGGGGTTTAGACTCTTACTATTTGGATAAAATACATGCAGAATCGGTTGCGTATTTTCTAACGAACTCGAGGACGATCTTTGGCTAGAACTAGGGACAACTATTTGGCTAGCACTCTGAGCGCTGACATTATCCGGTGCTTCGTAATTGGACTTATGCAACAAAGTATGATGTTTAGATTTACATTTTAAACAACAAAATTTGGATGGACAATTCAAGACTCGATGTTTGGATGAAAAACAGTTAAGACATAATTGTTTCTCTTTTATCAATTTAAAACGAGATTCAAATGATAGAGTTAAAAAATATTTACAATCTTTAATTAAGTGCTGTCCTTTATTGCACACAACACAAGAAGAGGAAACATGATTGTCATTCTTCTCATGAAAATGAAATGACTTTGCAGGTTTGGATACACTAAAATTATTTGTTTTGACATATCTAACCTTTTCATTTTTGTTAAACGATTTATATCGATGGCGTAAAAACTTTAAAAGATCCTCATAAGAAGGCAACTCATCGTTATCTCTAATCAAATCAAAATCATTAATGATCTCTTGAGGCAATTTTGACATAGCTAAATAAGTTAAAATGTGATCTTCTAAATTGTCAAGTTTTAATCGTTTAATTGCAGAAATATTGGTATCAAACTTTTCTAAGAAAAATTCTAAATTTGATGCAATAGTTGTTGATGAACAACGGAAATTCAAAAGTCTATCCATATACAAATTAAACAAATATTTTTTATCGTTATATCTATCATTTAACAATTTCCAAATAATATCATAATTATCTGGGACCGATTCTATTGAACTACAAGTTTTTAATGCCTTTCCTGACAGGGAGCCCAATAAATATTGTAATTTATCAGCTTTTGAAAATTCTGTTTTACTATGCACGAATTGCTTAAAATTTTCATAAAAAATAGGCCATAAGGATAAATCTTCTCCATCAAATTTAACGAGTTCAATTTTAGGCATTTTTATATGTGTATCGCCACTACTATTATTTTGAAATTGTGAATGACCTACAGGTTTTTTCAATAATATTGCCGCTAAATATTCAATATTGGACTGAATTTCATGAAACGCATCTGAAATAGTAAAATAATCCACTTCGGCCTCAGGATTCATTTCCTGTTTCAAAATAACAATTTCTTGCACAATTTGATCGAATTCAAGGACAGTTTTTTCGATGGTACTGTATCTAACTGAAAAGTTTCGAATTTTTGTTTCATTTCGCGGATCGATTTCTAAAGCCTGACCAGCTTCATAGCAAAGCTGAGCTCTTCGAAAAATATTTTCCCGTTTTGCACGATATCTATCTAATTTTAATTCATTTGAATTCTTCGGCATATTTATAAAAGACAAAGGTGATGCGCAGAACTACAAACAACTCTACGATTCAAATTCCACGAACGGTTTTTTAGGTCAACAAAAGGCAGAATGTCTTGGTCTCGACGTTTTTTTTTATTTATTTTTTTTTATACAAAAAAAAAACTACTATTTGAAGTTGGAAAACAATTCTAATTTATAGCAAACGGCAAATTATTTAATTATTGTGAACTAAATTAACAAATATAATCAAAACTACTAAATTTGGATGAAACCGGCATATATATTTTTAAAGTATGAACAACTAATCTCCGGACAAATTATTCAAATCCGGGTCGAACAGGGCCAATTTATGGTGTGTATTTAGTGAACTGTATGGAGACTATATTTTAGAAATTAGTTTTTCTTACCTTTAAAATATTTCTGTATCCCGTCGTGAGTGATGAACTTAAGGAAAAAATATCAGGGAAGGAAAAGGGAAGGTTCATCGGTAATTTCACTTTGCATTCAATAATTCGAACCGGCGTACAAAACGAATGTTCTGTTTTTAAATCAACTATCTTTTAGAAGTAACGAAATACGACTGACTTTAATACTACGCATAAATAATTTGCGCATGCCAAAATTAACGATATATTTTAAATAAAATGTATCTGCCATATAGGCAACACCAACTACCAAATAACAAATCTTAATTATAATCGGCCAAAACAATCTCATTCGGATTCACTAAAATTGGATTGTCCTCATCAACATTTGCCCAGATTGCACCTGGTATTGGATTGCATCTATAAAATCGTCTTCGATACGCGGCTGGTGTGTTCACATTGGCTAGACTAGTGACAACTTGGCGCAAGTTATCAAATACCACTTGTTCGGCTTGTGGTATAAACAGGTTTTCTCTTGTAAAATTATCTTTGCCTATTTTTGGGACGTATAGTCTATCTCCGACTTTGACTTTCCCGATTGAATTAACAATGGTTGAAATCTGATCGGGTACCACGATCATTCCTTTAACAACCGAAAGAATATTCTCTTCAATATTTATTTCACGATAGTCTCTCTCATTATCCATAATGGCGACTATTCCGCGCTGAGCTAACGCGACTTTCGTTTGAGTTACAGCTAAACTGACTCTGTAAAATTGATAAACGTCACCTACTTCTGGGGTGTTGTGGAACTCTCTTAAGGCTCGGAATATACTCATTATCCCAAATCCTAGACCTCGAGTCGTTATGCATAAGGTAATGGCTTTAAATGTTTGGACGGCCTCAAGCCGTTCCATTGCTGAATGCCCATCTTTTACGCCTGGAAAGAGTTTCTTCTTCAGATCTTCAGATAAGTCATTTAATGTGATTAACGATTGTGTGGCTCTGTGATCTTCAATTCGTTGATTATTATAACTCTGGCGTCCGCGTCCTCCGCGTCGTGGGCCTCTACCGCTTGGTCTTCTACCTCGTGAGACGACCTCTCTCTGCAGCTCGTAGCCTTCATTGTAGTCATTGGATTTGTTTCCTTGACGGAAAGCACTTCGATCCCTCGCTTTATTATTTGCAGTATTATACTCCATTTTGTTCTACTGTTAAATCTGTTACCGAATTTAATGTTAATGAATCAATACTAATATCTGAAGTGTTTGAAAACACCCATTCCCCTTTACGTAAATCCGGTATTATATCCATTTTCCGCCAGAAATCTACCCCCAAAATTAGAGCATGTGGTAGAGATGGAATTACCAAAGTATTAATAATTTTTACGCGATTCTTTATCTGAAATGGCAAATCAATTGATCCAATAATTGTACACTTTTCACCATTAGCTACGGTACACGACACTGTTCGGGACTTATCTAATTTTAAATTTAAATTCCGTAATTTTTCCCAACCCTTGCCACCAAGTATAGTATTGGACGCACCGGAATCTAACAATCCTAGAAATTTTATATCAAAGATGGAAATATCTAAATAGGGTCTTTCATCATTTTGCGCATGCGCGAGTATAAAATCTAAAACGGCTAACTGATTATTTGGTAAGTTCTTACTTTTCTCGTTAATTTTATTTTTATTGACCGTAGAAAGATTAGAGACAATATTACGGTCGTTTATCGTCTCTCCCGCTCGTTTCCCGACCTACGTGAGTTGCATTTCGGACATGAACGAACTGTATGATTAGGAGTACCACATTTATAACAATGTTTATTTTTGACATTTGCCTTACATGAATTAGATTTGTGACCAGTCATGTGACAATTCCAACAAGTAAGAATTGCATCTATATTTGCACCGGAAGATGAAGGTATAGAGTCAGTATAAACGTAAGCCAAGTCTGGTTCCATTAAAGAATTTTTATTTGATGGTGGGGGTATAAATGACTCGATAGCTTCTTTACGTGTTTCTAATTGACGTCCTAACTTTAATAGTTCACTAACAGAAGAAATGTTAACTAAACCTAACTGGTTTTGATAAAAAGGTGAGATGTTTCTTAACAAAATTTTCAATTTTACATTTTCACTAACCGGTACTGTTAATCGACCAAAGAGACTACTCATTACAGCTAAATATATTCCTATTGTTTCATTTGGACCTTGCGTGCGGTTTTTGATTTCCTGAAATAACTTCTCGTTAAAGTTTGAGGAATGAAATTCGGTTTTTAATTCTTGTACTAAATCTGGCCACGAGTGTACTTGGTCGCGAATGGATCTAAACCATATAAGAGCTTTACCCATAAAAAGATCTGACCCAGCGTTTAACAATTCATCTTTTGATACGTTTCGAGATAAACAGAGATCTTCAATATTTTCTAAAAACGCGTTTAATGAAATTTTTAAATTTTCGCCACTAAATTTATTTATGTTCCATTTTGCTACTGGTACAGTACGATTTGGTGTATTAAATGAATGAGCTTTTTGTGGTGTACTCGCGATATTTGAACTATTATGTAAATTATTTATATTGGTATCACTTTCTGAAGTATCGGAATCTGAAGAATTAGCTACATTTGTGGATGAAAATAAAGCACTAATCTCTAATGGGGTAGCACCTAATAATGACTGCTTCTTAAATTTCTTTGCCCTAGATTTCAATTCAGACTGTAGATTTGTAATTTCAACTAAATATTTAGATTTTTCTATTTTCTCCTCATTAGTATCTGCTTTCATTCGATCTGACATGTCAAAGGTGTGTATTAATTCAGTAGTAGTTTTTAAGAATAACGTACTCGAAGAACAATCCGCAAAATTGTTTATAATATCTTTTATTTCAGTAATTTTATCATCCAAATATTTTTTATCTTCATCAAAGGTATATGGATGATCTGGATATGTTAACGACATACCTGTTTTTTCTAACCTGCGATAGTTACTAAGACATTTCCGCATATCTTTAACCTGCACCTTATTTATCACACCCCTAATTGCCAATTCCCGTTGAAGCTCTGTCTTATCTAATCTATTAATTTCTAGTTTACCTTCCATAATTAAAATTTATTTATTAAGTAAACAAAAATAAAAATGCGTAAAGCCTTACTGCTTTTCAGGAAAAAAAATTGTCCTTGCTACAAAACAAAAAAAAATAAACACGACGTCTGAAAGCGGCGTCGGCGTCGTTATTCCGAAAAAGTACTAAAATTTAATAAAAATCGTTCTTCGACGATATACTATAGAGTTACTAGCTGAAAAGTTATAGTTTTATCCTATATAAAAAATAAAGAATTGACGTTAAAAACTGAAATGGTTATGAATATCAAAAAAAACCGGTTGGGCGCCAAATTTGCCACGTGCTAAAACAGGCTACGGAAGTGAGTGCACGAGCAAAAAAAAAGATACCCGGCTTGGGGTGAGTCCTGAAAATATTTATAAGGCGCCACCAGCTCGACCACGACTCGAACTGGAAAGCCCCTTGATCTAGTAAGGTTCCGTACCCGAAATACCGCAAAACAAATCTAAAACCCTAATTACACTGTACTATAAAGTGAAGCTTAATACCTAATTAGCAATAGAAAGAGAAAAACATAGAATAAAACACCGTCATCCACAACAAATCTCCCGGATATTTTATTATAAATTAACACCTGAAATTTCCAGTCCAGAGATGCCACAAAAATATTAATAAAATAATATTAAAACAAATAACTAATATTTAGTATCTGATTATGTTATTTTATGTCCAAAATATGTTTTAAACCCCCCAGCGTGTACACGTTGAGTTCACAGGTGTAAACTAGCCAAATTTTAGATAAAAGGAAAAAATGATAAAGTTTTATAAGTCGTAAATAAATTTTCATGTAAATTCAAAACCAAAACGTTGCGCTAAATAAATGTGTTTTTAGAATAAACGATATACTATTAAAATATTTCTTATCTGTATTTTCCTTTTCGTATTCGTCTGGACGTGGTCATACAATAGGACAAGCTGTATACTAGAAAAGAAGAAATTCCAGAGGTCTGGTGAGGATATAACGGCGATGATGAACTCCAATTCAAATAGTGTGACTGGCCAAAAAATTCTAACAATGACGTATTCTAGTGAACCTGTGAAGACGACGTGAAACTGCCAATTCCTGGATCTTTTAACGGGACCCTATGCCTGATTGGGTCGTTACTTGGATTGTATAAGTACTTAGATCGTATACTCGTACCGTATACTCGGACCCTCTAATTGAGGCCGTTGACAATTTAATCCTTCCACAGAAGATTTCAATCTTAAAACACCACAATAATGCACCTAACGTGCCAAAATGCATACAAGATTGATTACGAGAACACTAATGAGTTTTAGCCACCAAGGGTGTAAGATTTACAAATAAAGCACAAAATATATATCACAGTGTTCACTGTCAACAGTAAGTATCTTGCTAATACCCAATTAATTTATTTTGACTTCCGAACAGTATTGAACCCTTTTTTTTTTTTTTTTTTTTTTTTTTTTTTTTTTTTTTTTTTTTTTCAAAAAAAAATTGGCAAAAACATAGGAGATAGCTACGGTTTATTTTCTACTGAAACGAAACAACTATCGACACCTATAAATAATTGAAGAATATAATAAAAATATCGAAATAGATATCCTCAAATATGGAAACAGATAAGAAACGCCATTTTTAGTCCAATTTATATTTAAATTATTAAAATAAATTAAAAATAGAGATTTCGCCATTTTAACCCGTTACACTCTTTTATTATTATCTATTAACTCTTTCTCAAGATTATTCTCATCGCTCGTCTTATGAAGGTGGGTGTTCTGTGGTCTCGTGCCTTGTCAGGCCTTCTGCTCGTTGTGTGAGTGTTTTGTGGTTGGCTTCATTTGGTTATTGGGGGAAGTTAAATAAAATTAAAAAGTGGAAGAAACCAGTTTTCAAGTTAAAAAAATTCAGGTATCTCTAATTTATTTATGAAAAATGGAAGAATCTTCACAAGAAAAGTACCAGATTAGTATAAATTGTGAGGGTAGGGATTATTTGGTAGTGGTAGACTTGTAAACGGTATGTACAATTATTATGTAAAGTAAAAACAGTTTATAAATTTATAAAAATTGTAGATTATGATGTTGCTTTGAGCTATATTGAGTCAAATCCACAAAGGTGCACATTGCCAGATGACATAGGAAGTGAAATTGAAGATGTTGAAAATAGTAAAGTAACCAAGGAAGTAACTGAGGAAGTAACTAATGAAAAGGAACATATTACTGAAATATGGACATGGACACGAAGAAAACCAACTGAACGAGACATAGAGGCAACAAAAGTTTTGTTGACATTAAGGCAAAGAGACTTTAGACTTTTTGATGACAAGAAAACATCCAAGGGAAAATTATGGAATGAAATAGCAGATACTTTTTAACAATATGGTTTAAACGTAGATCCGAATAGAGGGGAAAGATACAGGCAGAAATTATCTAACCTCACAAAATCTTACATAAGTTATGTAAAAAATTAGACGGCAATAGGTGCTGAAAGAAATGATAATATACCGCCTTTCTATGAGGAATTATATTCCAATTTAGGTATTTTTATACAGTTTTGAAGCAAAATGTGTAATGTATTTATGATAAATTTGTTTTATCTTTATAAATGCTTTTTAGGGTCTAAGCATAAAGTGAACCCTAAAAGTCTCCAAGATTCTTTAAGCAATGATGACTGTTCCATCCAGCGTTCCAAAAATATTACGCCTACCTCTAGCCGAGGAAATAGATTCCCACCTCTAATTGGAACCAGCGCCGTTCCGGCGAGGAAATTACATTTTACAATAGACTTGCATTTCGCGCATTCGCAAATATTTACTTGTATATGAGAGTGGTGCATATGCCACACCTTTTGTTTTACCATTTTTGATTACTTACTTACAAAATCTTTATTAAAATATTTACAACTATACAATATCTACAACAATAAAAAATATATGTGTACAGTGAGAATTCTTCCTGATGTGCATTCTGGGGTTCCATGACAAAACAGAACTTGACAAAACAGAACAGGACAAAACAGAACATGACAACACAGAACTTGACAAAACAGAACACAGACAAAACAGAACACAGACAAAACAGAACACGGACAAAACAGAACACAGACAAAACAGAACAAGGACAAAACAGAACACAGACATAACAGATCACAGACAAAACAGAACATATCGACGGTCTACTGAGAGAAGTTAAAATCACGTAAGAAATTTAAACTTTATTTGTAGATTTTTAAAACAAGTAAGTCTTATTGATAGCAAAAGTAAATCAATGAAGTTTGTACAAAAAATAATCTAACACTGTTAACTATTTATCATACAATTGATTTACGGTAATGTTAAAATATATTTAATCAGGAAATGTTTTAGAACAGTTACCAAAACCATCTTCTCTTACGAGAACCCTCACTCGACATAAACAAGGTGCTTATATTCCAAATCCAACAACGGTCGAATTTAATATACCAGAACATTACATGGATGTAATTTTACAAGATACAGGGCCCGATGATCCTGATAGAATTCTGGCAATAGGGAATGAAGAGTTGGTTAACGAATTAAAAAAAGACGTTATTTTTGGAGATGGAACTTTTGATAAAGCACCAAACGTTTTCTATCAACTATATACATGTCACGTTAAGGTTGGAAATTCATTTCCACCCTGCATTCATTTCCTTTTACAAAAGAAGAATATTGAAACATACAGCCGAATGTTTACTATTTTATGTGAATTGGTACCGGATTTATCACCAGACCAGATTCTTGTAAATTTCGAAAAAGCTTATATGTCTGCTGCTCGAGTTGCTTTCCCACAGGCTCTCCCACCTTACCCAAAGCGTAATTAGGAAAATTAACAGTGTTGGTTTAAAACAAGTATACGAATCTGATGTTAACCTAAAGCTGAAACTTAAATCTCCACCTGCTCTTTCCTTTGTTCCAATAGCAGATGTAAGAATTATATTTAACCAACTAGCTGCTACATTTCCGGATGAGGATAGATATAATGAGGTTCTCACTTATTTTATTTTTCAACGTACATAGAAGGTGCTGCAGGAAGATTGTCATAATTTCCTATTAGAATTTGGAATCATCATGAAGCTGCTGCTGAGAAATGTCCGAAAACTACAAACTGTTGCGAAGGTTTTCATAATGCCTTAAATTCAATCTTTTGCTGCAGTCATCCCCGCATTTGGAATTTATTAGATGGTTTCAGACGAGATATAGCTTGCCAGCGGCTTTTGTTAGCTAAAACTAATGTAGGTAGCTTGAAAACGAAAAATAAAAAATATGAAACACTTAGTAATCAAGTGGCAATAGTAATACAGGGCTATCAACATGAAGAAAATAAGTTGGAATTTCTACGCCGAATGGCCAATCTCCAATAATATAAATAGTATAATATATAAAGTACTATAAGTAGTAAAAAGTATCATTTACTGTATTTTTTTATTTAATTATTAAACAAATTATTTAAGTACCAAAAATGTTTCATTACTCCTTTTTTTTCTTATAACATTAAAAAAAACAAGAAAAAAAAACTAAAAAAAAAAATTAATACAGTATCTTTTAATCATGAAATTTTTACGAAATTTTTCATATTTTTAACTATTCTTTAATTTTTAACATATCTGTAAGAATTATACAAACAATTCCTACACAATTTAACCAAAACATAAAGTACATCCCAATAATATTGTTGTTTAATTATCGTATTTAAAGTATTTACCCTAAGTACTAAGAATTAACCCATTAAACGCATTTAAATATATGTATACTGATAGGAGGCGAAACTTTTTGTTAGAGAATTTCGAGAAATACTTACCTAGTTATTATAAACTATGTTCTGTTTTGCCCGTGTTCTGTTATGTCTGTGTTCTGTTATGTCGGTGTTCTGTTTTGTCTGTGTTCTGTTTTGTCCGTGTTCTCTTTTGTCTGTGTTCTGTTTTGTCAAGTTCTGTTTTGTCATGTTCTGTTTTGTCCTGTTCTGTTTTGTCAAGTTCTGTTTTGTCTGATCACCGCATTCTGGAAGTGTTCTTCTACTGCTATGGCCCCCGGCGGGACCATGACCGATGTCTTGGCCGTATACTCCCAGTGCTGTAGTTTTAATTTTGCTTGAAACATGATCCCTCCTTGTTGTAATACAGGGTGGCGCGCGGCGGACGCATGGATTTGAAGAGGGGATTAGTACGGTCTTAATTTTGCTAGACGGTTGAGAGTCGGCAGGCACGAAAGAGGAGGAAGGGAAATTTATGTACCGCTCGGTGTCAGTCGCCGTTATGGAGTGGTCTGTTGAACAACGCGTCTTTTGTGTCGAAACTTATTTGTCGAACGCCCGTTCTATCATCCGCGTACAGCGTGCTTTCCGTTTAAGGTTTAATATAGCCCCCCGAGGCCGTATTCCCGATCGCAATTGAATTCTTGCGTGGGTTAAAGCATTCCAGGATACAGGAAATGTGTCCACGGTAAGAAGGGGCCTCCGATTACCGTCACTACCCCAGAAAACATTCGGAGGGTACGAGATGCACTTCAACGATCTCCCAGGCATTCAGTTCGGAAACAGCATTTCGAGACGTTCTATTCAAAGAATTGTTAAACAACATCTTCATTATCACCCCTACAAGATGGTTGTCGCCCAAGAATTAAAGCCTCGTGATTTTGAAGCCAGAGCACGCGCTAGTGAAAATATGCTTGCTGCATTGCCTCGAGACGTAATCGTTTTCTTCTCTGACGAGGCCCATTTTCACCTTATTGGATGTGTTAATAAACAAAATATGCGGTATTACAGTGACACAAATCCCAAGGAGCTACACCAGAGGCTCTTGCCCTCCGACAGGGTGACAGTATGGTGTGCAATTTCAAGAACTGGGATCATCGGCCCTTTCTTTTTTGAAGAAAATAATCGAGCGGTTTCCGTCACTTCTGCACGTTATCTGGCCATGCTCCAGGAATTTTTTTTTTGTCTCAGTTGGAAGCGATGAAGCTGGAAGGCGTCTGGTTTCAGCAGGACGGGGCCACAGCCCACACAGCAAGGATTTGCATGGACTTATTGCGAGACAGATTTCCCGAGCGCCTCATCTCTCTAAGAGGCGATTTGATTTGGCCAGCGCGCTCTCCTGATTTGGCACCTTGTGATTTTTTCCTGTGGGGATACCTGAAATCCAAGGTTTATAACGATCGTCCTAGGACCCTGGAAGCCCTCAAAATCAACATTGGAGCTCAACACGCCGAAATTCCTGTGGAAAAGCTTGAAAGAGTTCACGAATCCTTTAGAAAAAGACTTGCTCAATGTTTGGAGTGTGAGGGGCGCCATTTGGGCGATACTTTGTTTAAAACCTAAACTTCCCATGATAATAAAAAAGGAAATAATAAAAAAATTAGAGATTTTTTAACAGTCTGCGTTTTATTTCATTTCAAAATCCATGCGTCTGCCACGCGCCACCCTGTATAACATAATAAATCAATAAAGGTTATTATTAACCAGGTCAGTAATGGAATAGTGTTAAGTTTTTGTGTGATTTTAATTGTGTCTGTCGTCCCAATTGAAAAAACTGGGTTGTCCTAAATGTATGTTAATTACGTGGTAGTTTGTGTGCATGAATTAGTCAAATCACAAGACTACACAATTAAGCCATCGTACAACATAAAAGTACTGGAAAACCGAGAACTTTCACATTGGGCGATGACGTCACCGTGCAGTCTTCAGTCCGACGATAGTTGGTAACTAATCGTCGTAGTGATTTGTCTATTCAGTGGGGTCGTCGCTGCTATGGAGGATGTACGTCTATTTTCCTGTCTTTTTTGTCCGTAATTCTGTGATGATTTATGCCCCTGCTCACGCCAGTTTCCCAGAACATCATAGTAAACTACGATGATCCGAGAAAAAGCGCTACTGCAGTCGCATAAACATCCACAGAAGCATTTTACAATGTATTTAAACGAATGCTTTTACTGTATTGTATGTTGTACAATTTTTAAGTTTTGCGTTCAGTGCTCTGACTGCCCTGGTTAATTCGCCTATATTGATTATTTTGTTTAATGTCTCGAATTCTATTTTAAAGGTAAACAAACGTATGCTCTAGAGACAACTGTATCCTAGACGAGTTCTAGGTGTACTGACCATTTTTGATTGTGTTAAGTTTTGACTTAATAAACTGTTTCTATGAAGCTACTCATTTAACCATCCTTATGCTACATTAATAAAATTTGCAATAAAAAGGCAAATAAAAATGACAGTGAATCAAACAGGGATCAGCAAAATGATCAAATAGAAGAAACTAAAGAAAATAATAGTGCAAATGTTGAAGAAAGACCATCAACTTCTCAAATAGATAAGTCACATTCTCAAGATTCACAAAACAGGTTTAAAAAGGTACACCGTA